CACAAGAAGCAGAAGAACTAACTAACTTCCAGTCCTTTGCCTAACAGCTCAGGAAGTAAAGTCTCCAACTCTTATATGAGGAAAAAAGCTTGTTGTTACACAATAGCCTTGCAAATGAAAGCTGCAAAACAGTCTCACATTCAAACATTAAAAAGAAATTATATATATGAGGGAGAGGCAGAGTTTAAGGGTGTAAATCAGTTCTGAGTTAAGTACTTTAATCTAAACACATCATATTTTAAACAAAAAACAAGCCCTCTGCCTTCAGTATAGGGAACTAATTTGCATCCAGTTTGTGCAGTTTCTAAAAGCTGTTGTCTAAAATGTCAGCACTCTACAGGAAATTTTCCTCTGATGTCCTCTACACAACAAAGCAAGCTGCAAGCTCATGGTTTAAAAAAAAAAATCTCACTGGTGTGGCAGTCTGTTGGCAACACTCTGAGAAACGATATTCTTCCTGGCTATGACAGAGCTCTGTGCAGAAAGTCATAACACAACTGTGAGTCACTAATAAATAACCAAATGACAGTGACTGATGAAGGCAAATCTGTGCTCAGTGAAATTACTGGTAAAAACACTAAAAATTATTTCCTTCTTAATATATTGAACTCTTTGTTTAGAAGTTGAGTTGATACTGCCAGAAAACGCTTTTAACACAGCTAGAATAAATTTTAGTGGGCGTTTGAATACTGAAGCACGAGAGACTAGTCTGCTAAAGAAGCTGCCCCCAGAAAGGCTGCTGTTTGCATAAAATATGTTGGTTCTTCTCAGCTGGGAAATCATTTGATCTATTTCATATCATATGCCCTGTCACTAAGGAAGCAAATATGGATATGAAATATGAACATGAAGCAAAACATAAAAAGACACTTAATAAAATGAGTGATTATGTTTTGCCTAAATCCTCTCACGCCAGCAAGAGGCACATACCATCATAAATCCAGCAAAGTCTGCCCATTTCAGTATGTGGGAAAGGAATAAAAAAACCCTGCAGCCAGGCCCTGTGAAGCACATTACTGCAGAGGGTTTTCTCAGGAGAAATGGAGAGCACTGACTGAGGAAGACTGATTACTGCAGTGCTTTAACTGATGGCCAGATGCAGGAGAAGACAAGAGATCTGGAGCTGCTCTGTGCCATGACCTAACGCTTGGCACATAGACAGTTGATGAAAGAGTCTTAATGCTACTGGTCCAGCACAATCTTTCAAAATGCAATCCAAGTCCTTAGCAACAAATTTTCAGTGCTTATATGCTACTTCTCAGTGATTCAATAAATTTGAAAAAATCAAGGAAAAAGAAAAAAACAAGAAAGGACGCAGATGCAGAGAAGTCATAAACTACCCAAGCATTTGTGAAAAGCTTGTGTTAGGAAGTACTAACAGATTATTCTTTTAAATACTTTTGGTATTTAAATTCCAGATTGTTTTAGTTCCTGTGCCTGAGAAGTTCATGTTCGTACAGCATCAAATACAAACCATAATATTATGTATAGTCTTTACATCCAGATGACGACAACATTGAAAAGTTCCAGCTTATTTATAAACACGATTTTTAAAAGAGCAGAAAATCAGAAATGCAAGCATTTTATCTCTCCAAACTATTGTAAACTTCTAACTATTCAGACCTTAGCCTAATTTATTCTCCAGATATTCCACAGAATGACATGACAACACACTGATTGACACTCAATGCTAGAATTCAAGCTGTAACACAAGCTTGTAATACAATACAGAGACATTAGGACTGTGGACACAGATAAGAAACGAAAAGTGAAGCCTAGAACACACATTTGTGCAAGTGCAGAAAAAATGAAAGCAGACATGACACAATGGGCTGTGAAGAATCATACTTGGATGTGAACTCTCTCCCTCCGCACAGAATCTGATTATATAGTTACCTAGGTCTTCCTACAGGACAATTGGGTACAAGTGGAGGATTCTGAACCTCCTCTACTGATGTCAATGGCAAAACTACCACCAGCTTCAGCCTGCAGTCTTTAGGATAGAAAAACCTATTTCAGAACGTTATGTGTAGATGCAGTGTACAACATCAAATAGAGGAAATCCAGCAAGCAATATAGAACATTAAGCACTAATATTATGAAAACACTCATTGTTTTACAGGAAAATATATCCTCACCAATTATCACAAATATCTGCGGCAAGCATGCTAAAAAGATATCTCTTTTTCTTTTCAATGTAAACTGTGTTTTGCTTTTGTACTGCTAAAGCGCAACAGAGTGAAGGGCACACTCTGCTGGTCAGAAGCATTATTTGCACTGAAGGCTTTTTAATAATGAGTACTAAAAAATAAACCCCATTATATGACACCTGGACTGGAAGTGGTGCTCCACACTAGGCTACTACTTGACTTTTTTTCATCCTGATTTTTAGAGACAATGGCTATGATGCTATGAATGGACTTTCTCATGTTTAAACATCAGCCTACCTGCTGTAAGAACACTTCATTTCCTGAACGGCATTTTTAGCAGTATTACATTGTTCAAAAACTCTTTACCTTAGGCTTTTCATCCAGTATTTGCTGACGAATCTCCTTGTGTTTTTCTACAAGTTTCTCCTGTCTTTTACTCTGAGCATCTTCTAGCTGTAAGAAAGTTAGCAGAAAATCTTTTTTCAGAGATTGTGCATCCTCACTTTCCCATCTTTACCTCAACAAACATTTCCTTGTCACAGGCATCCCTGGGCACAACTGCTCTAACAGTTGTGTTTGGACAATGTATCTCAGATTTCACACATGGCATTTAGAATCGCAAATGTCTGAAGGACTTACTGTAAACTTCCAATGCTATTAAAAGCATAAAGCATTTTTTAAAGTCCTATTATTTTGCTTTAGCTTCTATTGTATGAGCTGTGCACGACGGACCCTGTTCCCAGAAGAGGATTTGCATCCTAGAGTCCTAAATGAACAGACTGATAAATTTTGGGCCCCATTTAATAAAGCACTCAGACATGTGTCTGACTTCAACAATAATTAAGCATACTTAATTTGCTAATTCTTTAGGTTGCTTCCTGAATCAAGGCCTCTGTGAGCAAAAATGGGCCCACTCTTGAACTGATCTCTCTGCACTGAAATTAAGAGAAAATTCAATAGCAGCATATGTTTCAAAGGGATTTCACACATCAAAACACTGAGGTGCTTACTTTCAGCCAAGTGTAAGCCACCGTTGCTTCAGAAAAGCCAATGGCTATAATGAAATTCTTTCACTTGTATTTACAGAGCTCTTTTTTTTGCATTTCAGTAACTGTAGAAATGTAATTAAGGTTAAAATATACTCCGCAATTAAATGTTTATTGACTTTCAGAGTTCCTTATGCAATCTGCATCCATGAGACAGCCAGAAAATTAAAATGTTTCATTTTCCATGAATAAACACAGGATATTTAAAGATGAAATCAATACTGTATCAAAATCTGCCTCTCTTAGCACCATCTCCCAAACACTGACTACCAGCTAATCAAGATCTGTCTGAAATTCCAGTTTTCCTTTAACTGGGATGTGAATAGACGTCTACACTGCATCTGTTAAAAATCATCACTTGCAGAATCCTTATACCAAATCTTAGAATCTGCAGTTTAATATGACATAAAATATGAAAGATGACATTTTATCCCCTAAAATGAAAAATAAACATATGATCTGACATACCCTTTTTATGTACTGCACCACCTCCTGGATATATGATCGAATCATTTCAGTCTTCTCTCTGCAGAGAAGGAATCAGCAAGTTATTGTAAGATAATAACAATGAGAAGATAAGATCACACCAATATAATTTAAGCCACCACAACTCCTTACAAAATAAGGCTTTTTTTCATGTATGGATCTGCCTATTTAACTTTTATCTACTTCCTAGATGTGCCTTTCATTGCAGGCTGCATCTTTATTGAATGAAGGGCACAGGCTTCCCCATGACCTACAAAACAAACCCCCTGCTCCTTCACAACAGACTTTTTTTCACAGGGTACTGCCACATTTTTGAAGTGATGGTGTTCCTCAGGGCCCAAATGTCAGCTTAGGAGAGCACATGATCATCAGTAGACACACACTGCCACATTGTGGCACATTATATACTAGAGAAATAGTCTCTGTCAGCGAGCAGATACTGTTGGTGACATCTTGGAGACAATGGTAAAGCTCCTACAAAGAGGAGAGCAGACTCAGTTTCAGTTCCCACCTTTGCTATGTAAACCACATAAAGCTGAACTTGGAGGAAATACTCAGAAATACTTGACATTTAAGTGACTCCGTGAGAGAGTTATCAGGTAATCATTGGTCAAAGGCTGAAGTTGAGATATCCCAAAGGGATAAATGTGCATAAAATAACAATTTGTGGATACTTGAGCTGACTAGATTCAGGACAGTACTCTAAAACCTAATTGCCTAAGTTAAGAACAGTGAATTGCTGTTCAGTTGGCACTACAATCTTATGGTTTTAAGTAGTTACACAAGCCCTGGGTGCATGTAGGAAGTAGAAAAAATAAGCAAGAACAATTAATGCAATGTGTTACCTCTGTGTATTATTCTTTCCCAAAATTGTGTAAAAGCTTTAAATAAATAATTTAGCCTGCATGAATCGAATGGGATTCACCAGAAGGTCTCGCTACTGTCTGTCCTACTGTGAGAACAAGGACAAACTGTGTCACTTGACAGAGGAAAGCTGAGTTTGCCATGTAGTTCCATTCTCACCTTTCCCAAGGGCTCTTTGAAAAGCCTGGCAAAGGAAAGCCCATGGGGAAAATGAGGAAAAAAAATAAAAGGAAAACAAAACCTAATTTCTAGTGGTCTGTTTCTGAGCCTTTCTCACTAGCATCTCGTTTACCTCTCAGCAAATCATTTTCTAGTGCAATTGATTTTTACTGCTATAACATTTTCATAATGACTACTTTTTTTTAATATGATTTCCATGTCCTCTGACCAGCTCTAACCATATTAAGTATTTTTCCCTTTTTTAATAATAAATTATTCTCATTTTGTAATCTTTTTACTAAGATGTCAATTAAAATTCTATAATACAGACTCTTAAATTAGTTGATGCAATTAATTTTGCATGTGACCTTCTTCCAGAGTTACCAAATACATAGATTCTATGTTGAGAATCTCCAAAATCTATATAAACCTTTTAATCTGCAGAAAAACCAACATAGTTGTGTTTCTGTTACATGATAAAACTCAGACTTTCTGGATTTTTTTAAATTTTTTTTTTGTTCCTCCTGTATTTTTAGTTGTCCTTAGATGTTACTAAAATAAAGACTGGTAATAAGAATATCCCAGCAAACAGTGCAAGATTAAAATGCTCCATTTTCTTTTTGAGCTGCTTGCCAAAACAAATGAAGGAGGACAAACAAACCTAGATACCGTGCCCTTGGGAAGAACATAATCAACTTGCACAACTAGTTTGTATTGTCTGGTGGTACACAAATGAAATTAATATTCCTGTCCCTGTTCATAGAAACTGGACACTCAGTGCTCAGCTCTCCTATACCTTCCACCCAAAGTAACTGCATGCTGCATAACACTGTCACTGGAGGAGAATCAGTAGCACAGCATCTGAGGGGAATTTATCACAAAAGTAGAGCAAACCTTCCAGTCTGTTGCTGCTATTTCTTCTGGAGATCAGCTTTAACAGAGTTAAGAAGAAAAGATAATTCACAACTAAAAACCTAAGTTAAGGTGGAAGCAAACCCTGCAGGAACTGAAGCCACTAGGTCTATTTACACTCCAAGGAACAGTGTCTGGATTAACAGCATCTTGGTGAATCACTTGTCATGCTACTCATAGGCACGCCACACATCAGCACCTTTGCAGCTCACCTAGACTCTCCATGCTTGCAGAACAAGAGATTAGATTAGTCCCAGGAACTTAAATCAGTATCAGCGGAAGTGAGGAGGACTCCACTGCTCTGGTAAGGTATTACAGTCTGACTAAAAGCTGCCCTGTATTTAGAGTTAAGATCTTTCTTTGATTTTCTGATTGTGAAAAACCTTGTATATCCTCATAACATACCAGGATATGGATCTAGGGATATACTTACTCTTCCATTTGATTTTTGTCCTTGGACTTTGCTTCTGTGATCTTCTCCTGCCTCTTCTTGTCCATTTTTTTCTTCAATTCTTTCTTTTCTCTAAAGCATAAGAAATAAAGTGAAGTTCAAAATCTATCTAAACAAAAATGACACAGAGTAGTAATGAATTATAAGGGGAATAGCACCTTACTTTTCACATGTTTCTTTCAGTTTCTTTAGCTGGCTGTTCTGACACTCCTCTGCTACATCTGTCAACTTCTGAATAAGCTAAAAAAATTCCAAGAAACAAAAATGTGTATTTTCAGCTAAACATCATGCATGCATCTAAGTTTCCTCAAAAGTCTGAGGCAGACACAAAAGTGTTACACCATTCCCTGATTATTTACCAATTATCAAAATCCAGTAAACATTCTTATCAGCATAAATATATTCTTAACTGGCAGACTTCTATATGTCTAACTTACACAGAAGCTACTGCTTCTCTGTATATCAAGGTGATAGTTTCAGAATATTAAATGTAAAACCAAAATATATTTTGCAGATTCTACCTTTTCTAGGAATTAAAATGCCTATGATAACTCATAAATGCTCACAAACTGAATTTACACAATATAGATTACAAACTGAATTCCTCTGTCACTGAATATTCAGAGTTTTCTGCAAGTGTTGATAACATTCCTTTTGCGTTGAGCATTACTAATGGAAGAGCTGGATTTCAGGGTGGACAGGTGGATATTGAAAATTCATGCATGATACCTAAGAAAGCTAATTATAGATAAGCATAGCCCACATTTTGATCACAGAATGATGGATTTGAAAAACCTGAGTCGGTATGAAAACTGCTGTGCACCGCTAGGTCTGATCTCATTCGGCTTGAAACTGCTAACAAAAAGCACGCTTGTGGTGGTGATGCTGACAGGAGAGGACACATGGACAGGGCTTGTGTGCAACTTTAATGAATGGTGAATTAAAGTGGGAAATGGGACCAATTTGGTTTGATCACCCCCTCTAGTTTAAGCCTGATTCTGTAAAATAATCCTCAGGATGATGAACTAGAGAACGTATAATAATACCTACCTATTTCTGATTCAGCTTTTGAATCCTTAGATAAAAGAAGAAAGATACCGACAATAGCCTGTCCTCTAAAAGACAGACATCAGAAAGAATATCTTGGCTGCAAAGCAAATTTTAATTGGAATACTAACTCCTGGACAGCTCAGAGGGAAAACTGTCTGAAGGTCCTGTGCTAAAATATAAATTTATCCTGACACTACCTAACTAGACAATGCTGAAAATGTAACTTTGCTTTGAGAAATACCACTTCCTGTTTTGAAATGAGAAATTAGTTAGCTTACAATATAAGCTCAACTATGTGGGTACAAAATGGTTTGTTTTCATAAAAATTAGAAGTCCTGAGATGCAGCCAACAACTGTTACTTGAATGTGGGCTCTCTCCCTGCAGCACAGATAACCGTGTCCATGCACCCACACTGGAGCAGCTCCTGTTTGGTAACACTAAGTGGTTCACATACAACTGGTAATAAACAGGGCACTGTTTGGGAACCACAGCTCCATGCTATGATCCATGGTAATGAATTTGTGAAGAAGCCTTGCTGAGCAATATCCACGCATATCACTCCTCTGACCTGCTCTTTTAGGATGGCAGGGCAGAGTGGACAAATGACTTCATCCAACAGTAATGAGGCAAAACATCATCTAATAGAAAAAAATTGTGAGAGAGGATTGTCTGCAGTTGAGAAAGTTTGCACTCCCGTAACACCCTTTAAAAATGTTTTCTGCCTGAGCATATCCATCAGCATCAGCTGCCATCTGTCCAAGCTCCTCTATTTCAGCTCATCAATGATCCTGCTGTAGTTGTCAGGCAAAATCCAGCTGTAAAAACACAAGCTGGCTTGGACTGATGGACTCAAAATATTTCGTCACTATATACAGATTATGTCCTGCACCCCCCCCTTAAAGCATTCATCTGCAACAGGAACACTATTTGGCACAACTCTGTGCCCTGGGGAATGTTTGAATCTATTTTCATTTATTTATTTTCATGGTGTTTATTTTTTAGCTAATCCTGCTCCTTGAGTGTTGTACGTCTGAAAAAGCAGCAGAACAAAATGGGAACATCATCCAAAAGCTGCAGTAAATTGACTTATGTAACTAGAGGTAAGGACTCTGTGTTAGCAGTAGTAATAATCCTGTTGCCTTTCTGCCTTCCCTCTAAAGCCTTTTGAGTTGTTACAAGTGCTAGTGACAAAGTCACAACAACCCCTCGAATTTGCAGCAGACCACAGGGAAATCAAGCTCTGAAATGGACTCAGAGTAAGAGGAAGCCTCATTTCATTATAATGTCATGCTGCTTTAATTACTTACCCTGAGATCGCTAAAGAAAAGCAGACGACATAACAAACGTACCAGCTTAATGTGCTCTCGTTTCTGGTACTTTTCACTGTAATACTGTTCCTGACGGAGATTTAGCAGCTGCTGTTGTTGCTTCTCCTTCAGCTCGACTAGCTTCTGGGTCATTTCAGAGTCGAGCGCAGCTAACTCCTGTTCGATAGTTGAAGAACTGTGGTCTGGGCTGCCAGCTTCAGATCTGCAAAGACACATGCACACACTCTAAGGTCTAAGTCACTGGGCACATACCCTCTGCTCCATATTTAAACACTGTTTTTAAGGCAGCTGGTTGTATGCAGCTCATTAAGACGTTTCTCAGCACCACTTATAGGTACATAAGATTACTTTAGCTCTAGTAAGTCCAATCATTTAATGTTTTAGGAAAAAAATAGTGTTAACAGTAAAATGCTTAAATGTTAGGAACATCCCTTTATTTGGTATTTTCTCCCCCCTTCAGGAAATGCCATGCATAGCACAAACAGAGGAAAGTGCTCTATGGACTGCTCACTTTAGGGGGAAAGTTAACACCCCAGGTGAGGAGTAAACCTCAGAAACACGGCACATAAGACCAAAGGAAAAATATAATGAAGAAGCTAAAAAGCAATACTAAAGAAAAGTTGTTGTGGGATTTTTTTCTTTCTTAATTCAAAAGGAAGGATAGATGTGAGAGGAGACATGACATGACAAGACAATATTAAACTGCTCAAGGAAAGGGAAAAATAAGGAGCAAAAGCAGTATCATTCTCAGGCCAGCATTAACCTGTACCAAAGCAAAAGGAAATCATGGTGTGTCCCTGCTCTGCTGTTGTGTTTACTGCTGTACTCAGGTGTTAAATCAGTTGCCTGGGAAACCTCAGGAACAGTGAACGAAATGGATGAAAGAGCAAAACCTTGAACAGAAAGGGCTGACAGTGTGAGAAAAATGAGTTTGCTACTCAGAAATCTGCAGAGATTACAGCACAGAGAACTTGCTACACTGGCTGCCTCTCTTTTCTCTCCCAGTTTCAAGTTTGCAGCTGCTGTCAATTAGAGTAACTTCAACTGAAATACTGCGAAGCTGCTTTCATCAGTGTGAGGACATGAAACAAGGTAGCCTCTTTCTATTTCTTATATTTTTACTGCATTTGAATGTTCTGCTAAAAGGTTAAGTGGTGTCAGTGTGATAGATGGGGATAATTTAAATACAGAGCCAGAAGACAGCATTAATGAATGTTAAAGTTAGCATAATATGCCATTACACTATACATTTTAAGCTGACATTTCTTTTGTATTTTTGGGAAAAAGAAATGAGGCCTATTTCTAAATGCTGGCTAAAATACTAAGACTGAGTTTTAAGGGATATGATCATCAAAGAAACTTCAGAACAACACCAGCAAAACACTGCTGCATGTGTAAAAATAAATATTTCAAACTTGCTATAGACAATGGCTTTACTGAATCTTGGCCTCATTTTAGACAAGGGCATGAAACATGGACTGCTTCTGACCAGAGACAACACATTTGTATGGCAATCTGATACAGCAGCTCCTGAAAAAGTAGTGATTTATACTTTGCAGTTACAGGCAAATAGCTTTAGTAATAATTTAAAATGATAATAACCTTTTTCCTTGGGATGCAGTATTCTATTAGAAGTCTTCTGTTTGAGATGGTATGTACTTGCAAGTTTGAAAATCCCTAAAAATATATCCCTGCCTTTTTAAAATTCAACCTCAGTTTTTTTAACCTTCAGATTTCTCTGTATCTCCACATAAAACTTCACATCTCTGGAATCACCGTGACAGCTCCATGTAATAGACTGCAGGGTTTTATTGCCTGATATCATGAATGATTTATGGTCAGATCATAACGAAATAAGAAAACAAAATCCTTTTAACCCAAAGATAAATAAGTAATTTTATTTATTCGGTTTGTTTTTCTGCTTAAATTTGAATAGAATATACTAAGGAAACATGATATTGTTTTATTCGCCACTATCTGTTGCACACACTGATGATGGAAAATACAGTGGATAAAATAACACTGTGCGTGCAGTTGACAACCAGTCATTAAGGGAGTTTGTTAAACTCAAGTATAGAAACCGGAAGCCTGAAAACTGGCAGCAGTTAAGGCCAGCTGAACATAGATAGATTATGAGTGTTAAGCTCTTATTAAGCCAAATGACATTTTGTCATCAGGCAGGCATAAATGAATAAGTTCCTTCATAGGGACAAGTTATGGCCTGAATCTCAGTCACTTACAATGAGAGGTACTATCAACAAGGTTGGCAGCCAGAGAATGCTTGGAGCCTTTTTCTCTGATGACCTTCTACCAAAAACTATATAGTAATTATTTTTAATGTTCATTCAGTGTCTTCATATTTAAGAACTGCAGCTAAATCAGTTAAATGTAAAAGTCAAAGGACTTTTGTCCTTTAAGTAATCTAATTACTAAAAAAAAAATATCTAATTACTAAAAAAAAAAAAATTATGTTAAAATCAGAATGCTGCACTAATGGGACAAATAAAAATATAGGAGGGTACCTCTACCTGATTATCATTCAGTTGTAATAGTACCAGACACTGATTGTACCTATGTGTGTATATGTTTTGCCAGGAGATAAGAACTGATCTTTACAAACATAAAGTTCCTTACCATATGAACGAGACAACAATTGTGGAAAGATTAATGAGTCATAACAGCCTTTGCATTTCAAACTGATAATGATAAATACAGCTCTCCTTTTTTATTATTAACTAAATAAATAATATAAAAGTTATATCAGCACACACAAAGATATAAGGCAATGCAAGATTTAGAAGACACAGCACAGAAGGGGTGTGCATGCCAAGAAATCATTAAGAGATCTGGATCAATCGTAATGTAAATAGTAGTCAGATGTTAATAACTTTCAGGTGTTCCTTTCACCTAATTATACATCTGATACCTTCTACTCTAGCATGGATTTTTTTCCAGGGCTCCAACTTGGAGCCAATGCTCTTCATCTCCAAATTCAGAATATCTGTTTTACCCATAAATAGCATAAAAGAGGACTAAGTTTTGTTCCTGTTTTGACACTTGGGTCTCTTTTACCACCAGACAGCACACTGTGGTGGCCTAGAGTAAACCAATATGGGCATGATGACCATGTGAGCTGGCTGCAAAAACTTCTTGGTTGAAAAAGAAGCTACGTTATAAAGCTGTATTATTAATAGTGGAGTAGAAGTTTCCATGGAGCCGATACTCCTTCTCCTAAAGGAGGTCAGCATGGGAGAAGATGGGGTGCTCTGATAAAACATACTGCAGTTGACCTCAGTAGCTCAGAGAGGTTTGAGTTCTTGAGATATCCAGAGAAGTCTGAGTTCTTTCACACTGTAGTCTGGTTCCTGAGCTGTCCCAGTATGTAGGGGATGCCTTCATCTAATAGTCTGTGATTAAGCTTACTACCTAAACTGGTAGCCACTACTGGCTGCTGTTTCCAGTGCAGCTGAGTCACCTACCCATACTAACAGACTAGAAGTAGTCCCAGGATCAATATTGCATGCCCTCATTTACAGGGAAAAAGGTATAACATGGTGAACAGCTTATCTGGCTTTTAGCAAAGAATCAGCACATCATGGAGAGGGCTTTTTCCTGATGGTTTCCATGTCAAAGGCCCTGACTTCCTTTAACCCAGGAATCTTGCTGCTTTCGATTTTTTTTTTCTGTCTTCTAATGCCACTTCTATATTAACTGTCTACTATAAAAGAAGACTTGAGTAAAGATGTCCAATACCAAGAACAGGAAAGCTACATTCAACATACCTTTTCTTACTGTCTCTTTTTGCCGTTTTTTCTAAAACTGCTCTTCGTCGCAGGTAGTCATTTTGGATTTCATTATACTTCGCAGTGTGCTCTTTGATAAGGTCAGTGGTTTTCTTGTGGTGCCTCTTTACAAGGTCCTTCATTTCCTTGTAGTGCTTCTTCTGAAGCTTAACAAAAGACTTCTGTTGTTTTAGCTCCTCAATAGTCTGTGCTTCCACTTCTACAGTGATAACAAGAAAAGCCTCTTCAATTTTGTAATAATGTATGATTTCAATCAGAGGACCCAGATATTGCCATTAGCAGGAAT